TCCCCCCCCCCCCCAGCCAGCAAGGTGGGCGACAACAAACACGGCTTGATGAAGTTCCGGGAGGAGAAGAACGTCCTTGGGCTGGGACTCAGCACCGGCTTCCACGACCGATACTTCATCCTCAACAACCACTCCCTCCGCCTCTACAAGGAGGTCCGGGTAGGTCCTCCGCCTCGGAATTTGAATTCGGATCCTTCCTCGCCCTCGCCCACGCTCTACTCCCCTCCCGGCTTGACTACTGCCATGCGCTCTGCACGGGGCTGCCCTTGAAGAGTATCTGGAAGCTCCCATTGGGTCAAGACTACAACTCCCCGTCTCCTGGTGATTGGCCCAAAGTCACCCAGACAGCTTTCATGGCTAAGGCGGGACTAGAACTCCCCGTCTCCTGGTGATTGGCCCAAAGTCACCCAGACAGCTTTCATGGCTAAGGCGGGACTAGAACTCACCGTCACCTGGTGATTGGCCCAAAGACACTCAGTTGGTTTTCAAGGCGGGACTAGAACTCACCGTCTCCTGGTGATTGGCCCAAAGTCACCCAGCCAGCTTTCATGGGTAAAGCAGAACTAGAACTCACAGTCTCCTGGTGATCAGCCTAAAGTCACCCAGCTGCCTTTCATGCCTAAGGCAGGACTAGAACTCACAGTCTCCTGGTGATCAGCCTAAAGTCACCCAGCCGGCTTTCATAGCTAAGCCAGGACTACAACTCACCATTTCCTGGTGATTGGCCCAAAGTCACCCAGCCAGCTTTCATGGGTAAAGCAGAACTAGAACTCAGAGTCTCCTAGTGATTGGCCCAAAGACACCCAGTTGGTTTTCAAGGCGGGACTAGAACTCACCGTCTCCTGGTGATTGGCCCAAAGTCACCCAGCCGGCCTTCATGCCTAAGGTGGGATGAGATGGGACCACTAGACCAAGCAGGCTCCCTCTGTCCACCTTTAATGTCCACCTTGAATGGTGGTCGTGGATTTTGAAGCTCTCGGAGGTGGGATGTGGCGCCCCTCGTGGGGACCCCTGCTGGCCCTTCTTGGTGGGATGTGGGGACGCCCTCCCCTTTTTCACTGTTCACACCGTCCTCCTCCTCTCGCCCAGAGCCATAAACCCGAGAAAGAATGGCTGGTCAAGAACCTGAAGATCTACCTGGGAATTAAGAAGAAGGTCCGTCCACCCACCTGGTAAGTGGAGCAGACGAGTCCCACCTGACGGTTGTCCCTTGCAAAGGGGGGCTACCCCAGCGCAGGTGGGCTTACTCCCCTGCAAGGATGTCTCAGGAGACTCTCCGTCATCCAGATCAGGGCTTTTCAACCAGTGGTAGGGGTACCACCTGTAGTACATTGGCACCTGGCAGGTGGTACGCGACCATCCTAGGAAAGTGGTAGCAGGGGAGGGGAATGAGCTGAACCGGTGGCAGCACCGCACAAGCCTGAGCGAGAGACGGCTGAAGTTGCAGGGCTGTCAGGGCTCAGCGGAAGCCCCAGGATCAGCGCCGGGATCCAGCTGGAGCTTAGCGCTGATCCTGGTGCTTCCGCTGAGCCCAGAAGAAGCGCCGATCAGCTGGAATGTTGCAGCATCTCCAGGGTCTTGTGATTTACATTCAGATGCTTGGCCACTGATTCCTATTTATGACGGTCACAGTGTCCCAGGGTCAGGTGAAGGGACCCAAACCTGCTGCAACCACCCAGCAGACGGGGGGGGGGAATAAAAACCAAACACCCCCCACCCCACCCCCGCTGCCAATCCTCAACAGAAATGCTCACAACAATGGAAACCTCGGACAGGAGGAAGAGCGCGGCCGGGTGGGTAGGCAGGCGTCTTGCTCGGCTGTGGCTTGGGGGACACTTTTTTCAGGGCCATTGTAACTTCAGTCACTAAGCGAACTGTTGTAAGTCGAGAAATACCTGTACTTTTTTTTTTTTTTGGTCAAGTTTTTGACCCCTTGCTAGGCGACTGGTGGTCCTCGTATGTTGCCATATCCTAAAAGTGGTACAAGGGGTGAAAAGGTGGAAAAGCCCTGCTCCAGATCATGGCGGTTGTCCCAAAGGTCCTTTTTTCAAGAGGCAACCGGACCTCCTTGTTGGTCTTTGAAGACGTTTCGCTCCTCCTGCGAGAAGCTTCTTCGGCTCTGACTGTGCAGCTCTGCACGCTGGGGAAACGAAACAACCCCTTCACGAACGCAGGGCGCCACATAGGAGAAACAAACCCATCAGGACAAGAGTCAGCGGTCCGTCCATCTGCCTTTAAAAGACAAAAGCCACTTTTTGGAGGGCAGCAAAGTCCACATTTTGGACAGAGGGGACCGCTGGGTTGGAAAGAGGGATCCAAGAGGCCAAAACTGAATACCCCTCCCTCAACAGAGGGGGAGGGATAGGACATCCTCTATCTCCAGTCTACAACACGGTCCTTTCAGCAGTTCCAAAAAAGGCTCCGTGCCCATTTGCACCACTCAGGTGACCCTGAGGACACAGACAAACCTCCAAGTGGCCTCAACGACCCTCTAAAAAGAATGCAAATAACCGGCTGTCTGCAAGGAGTATAAATCCTTCCACTCCCCACCATCCACTCAGAGCCAAAGAAGCTTCTGGGATTGAGAAGCGAAACATCTTCAAGGAAAAACCCAAAGGTGCTTTTTGATGAAGCAACTGGACTTTCTTGTTTTGCTTTGAAGAGGTTTTGCTTCTCATCCCAGAAGCTTCTTCAGCTCTGACTGGATGGTGGGGAACGGAAGGATTTATACTCCTTGCAGACTGCTGGTCATTTGGCTCCTTTTAGAGGGTCGGTGAGGCCACTTGGAGGTTTATGTGTCCTGAGGGTCACCTGAGTGGTGCAAATGGGTGTGGAGCCTTCTTGGAACTGCTGAAAGGATCGTGTTGTAGATAGATCACCCACTTGCACCACTCAGCTGACCCTGAGGACACAGATAAGCCTCCAAGTGGCCTCAACGACCCTCTAAAAGGAGGCAAATGACCAGTTTTTCTGCCAGGAGTATACATCCTTCCATCCCCCACCATCCGGTCAGAGCTGAAGAAGCTTCTTTGGAGGAGAAGCAAAACCTCTTCAAAGCAAAACAAGAAAGTCCAGTTGCTTCTTGAAAAAAAAGCACCTTTGGGATTCCCTACAACAGGGGTCCCCAACCCCGGGCCGTGGACCAGCACCGGTCCACGACACGTTGGAAACCGGTCCATGCAAACAAGCCAAGCCCCATCCACGGGATGCAGGCAGCATGTTAAACCAGGCCCCCTCCGATCCACGGAAAAGCCACTCTCCACGGAACCGGTGGTCCCCGTTGCCCCCGAGGTGGGGGACCGCTGCCCTACAAGGAGTGTTTGTAGACCAAGATCTTCAAAGGCCCTGCATGGTCAGGGAGATAAGTTAGCCATTCCTGTTTTGGGCCAGCAGGGGGCAGCCTTGCCCCACGGAACAGGTCTCGTTCAGCTCCTGGCCCACCCGCCAAAGGGGGAGAGGGGGGGGGCTAAAGGTGTAAAATGTCCTTTTGAAAATGCCCAAGGTGAGCCAATGAAGAGGGGGGGGGGGCTACAGAAGACCCAGAAGGGCATTTTGAAATGCAGAGGGGAGGGGAAAAAATCTCCCCCCTTGTGGGGTTGGATGTGGGGCTGACCCCCCCCAAAGTGCACAGGGTGGGCTGTCCGGCGCCAAACCCAGAGCCTTAATCCCGGGAACTAACCTCTTCCCCCCCCCCGTCTCCATCACCCCCCTCCCCCCACAGATGCTCTGGAAGG